TTGACTTTAAAACTCCGTGGGAAAGCGTAGTACCTGCAAAATCTATGACATAATTCACATATTAGAAGGCAATAGATAGGCCTAAATAAAATGTTTTTAATTGTGTACCAGTTTGACATTGAATATTATTTATGATTTTAATAAAATAGTCTGTTGGAATAATAAGCTTATATTTATATATAATAGTTCTTAGTTCTTTGTCATTTATATTTTTTCTTCCACAGTATGTCTTTTAATTTGTTAGTGTAATTCAACATATTTGAAATTATCCTAATTGTTGAATGAATACTTAATAAAGCACAAGTACAGTAGACATTTTGGTGTAACTTATCTTTTAAGTGGTCCATCATGTAATTGAAAATACCAAGGGATATAGAGATACATTTGTTCTACAGTTGAGAGGAATAAGAAGTTTAAACATGCACCTTCATGTAATGCCATTCTCATCAGCAGAGAATTCTTAGGCATTGACAAGGTGCACAAGTAAAAAACATGACTGTGTTTCCAAAAAATGAGTTATTTAAAGTTGCTTTTGACATTCCTTCTTAATATATTGTATAATTTCCACAAAATGAATAAGTAGAAAAATGCAAAGGTGATAAAATAAAGAAATTAGACTTTTAGAGAAAAAACACTTTTAAAAATTATGGTAGTAATTTATTTACTTGGCAACATTTCAAGTAAACGCTCTTTTTTTTTTCAAGCCAGAAATAAGGCTTGAAAAGGAGCGTTTGCTCATAAAGTCTCTAAAAGTCTAATTTCCACGAAAGCTGTAAAGCAGAGTTGTGATGTGGGGGACTTTCATCAGATAATTACGCTTCAGTTTTCTTTATTTTCATTATTAAACAGAATAAATTTATTATTTAATACAAAACCTTAAGCTTCATAAAAAGCTGAAAAACTCAAACAAAAACAGAAAATAATTTTCTTTTAAAAAACTCAACAAATATGTAAAGAAATTTGATTTTCACTGTGTAAAAAAGACTTAAACATCACCTATAAAAAAGCAGGTGTTTTTAAAATTAAATGTATTTTTAAAGTTTGAAGTGAAGCTATTGCAAACCTGTTATATTGTAAATTATTTTTTATGAATATGAATTAGGTATGAAATATACGAGTAACACTGATTTAGCATTTTGTGTACCAGACTTATAGTGGCATTGCTAAAGGTAATTTGTTAATAATAACTGAATTGTTTACAATGATTTTAACAATTACTAAATGTATACAGTTTTGTAACTCTCAAGATTTAAATGTAAATTTGAGCTTTTTGTTTTCTTGTTAAGCTTTGTGACGTTGTTTGCTGTGATGAGAAATTGCAGAGAAATGTGGTTTTTGCTTGTGTGTACTGGTCCTAGTGTTGTAGCTGTTGTGATGTAGCCTAGTCATTAACATTCCTTGAATCTGAACATTTTATATAATGCGATTGGATTATTGATAAAGTTTCTGGAGTTTGAATTGGTCAGCACCAATGGGGTAGCTTTAACAGGCCATTTGAGCACCAATAAAAATATAGAATATGTCTGTGGGACAATTCGTGTAAAATGTGTTTTACTGAAGATAAATATATATATACATAAATAAAATTAAGCATTCAAATATCTTAAAAAGTGTGCAAATCAGGTTGTCACAGCTCAGCCAAATTCATGTAAATATGGTTTTGAAATCTGTAGAAGTATCAATAAAAGTGTATAATCACAGTTTTTTCATGCAGACTGATATGTATATGAATAATTAACCACTATCAATTCTATAATTTAAATACATTGTTAGACTGTTGATTTAAATACTAAGACATTCTTCACTGTTAAAACTTGTGGACTTGAGAATGATTGCACCAATGATCAAAACGTTGTACCTTTTCTAAAAACAAATATTACATATTGTAAAAGCTGTAAATTGAAATAAAATAAAATTAGACATA